AAACTGAAAGATACAATAGTATCTACTTTCCTTAAAAACCTCGAAAGACATTATTCGGTAAAATCAGTTTAAGAAACGAGTATTACTATAAAATATTTCATTACTCCATATCATATCATATGTTATTAATGATTGTACCAAATTCCATGGCTATTATATTTAAACTGCTGGTCTAGGTGGCAGTGACAAACAAACTGAAAGATACTATACCATCTACTCTCCTTAAAAATCCTAAAAGACTTTATTCGGTAAAATCAGTTAAAAAAACGAGCATTAACTATAAAATATTTTAATACTAAATATCATATCATATGTTATTAATGATTGTATAAAATTCCATGACTATTATATTTTAAACTCCGGTTTAGGAGGCAGTTACCGAAAAACGTATTTCGTTAAGATCAGTTTCAGAAAAAAGTATTAACTCTTAAATAATTCATTACTGTACAATATCATATCATATTTTATTAATGATTGTACAAAATTCCATGACTATTATAACAAAATCATTAGGTTCTCAAACAAAATTATAATTATCAACAGATGTCAATTTCAGTGCGTTTTGACTTGAAATACTCAATTGTCAGTCTTTTCAATTTGCGTTACACAAATCATTAGGAAGTTCGAGTTGACATAGCCATAGCCTTGTAATAACACATCTCTTTCCATATGTCGTTCAGCTATTCAACAAATTTGATGCATAAATTCATAATTTAAACATGTCGGGGCCTACGCAGTTGAGAGCTTTTATGAGGTTGGTGGTGGGGGTTGGTGGTGATGGTGCTCCGACTGTCAACTGGCCCATCAAATGGGCCCGAAAAAACCATTCGCCAGCCATCACTATATGCCTTAGTGACCCCCTACCCGGCTTTGAATGTATGCTTGTATATACATATTGTCCTCATGGGTCTTTTGTGTGCCTACACATAGCAAAATATATCATACTTTTGTACTAACTATTATTATTAACTACTATTAACTTAAGGAATTTTTTTTAATGAAAAATGTATCAAATCAAAAATCGAAATTTGAAAAGTACGAAATTGTACAGCATCTTAATCATGAACTCAAAATGTTTTATTTCTGATTATCACAGCTTTAAATCGAAATCATTTTAAAAAAATACCCAATACTTTTAAGATTTAGAAACAAAAGAAACCACATGGCTTTTATAAGGATTGTTTTGATAGTAAGTTGTCAATATGGCACTGATATCGTACGATTTTTCCCCGAGTGAGGGTCTTAAAGTAACTCCCCCTCTTTTTGCGCCCAGTGGACCTTTTTGGGGACCCCTTTCTTCCTCTTCCCGGACCACTCCATCGACTTTACGGCGGTCCAGTACCCGGCCGGCCGCATTTGGAAATCTCGAAAACTTGTTTATCCAATACACACACAAACACACACTCGAAAAAAAAATATACTGCCAAGAGATGGGGGAAAAAATTATAAACAAGTTTTTTGTTTTGTATTTCGGCTTGCCTGTTGTTGTTCTTCCTCTTCTTCTGCCTCTCCGTCTTTGCCCTCGTCCCGCCCACCTCCCACCCCCCGCCCCCTCCTCGACCACTCTTTGTGCTTTTTACTTCTTGCTTGTATTTTGTCGCTGGTTTCGTAATTTATTCTAAAAGCGTTCCGTTTTGGCTCTATATAGAGAATAAATACATACATATATCTACACGAGCTTGCATACGAATTTATAAATATACAAACATACATATGTATGTATGTATGTACGTACAAGTGGGATATGACGCGTGTTTGAATAAAAGTTATACCCTGAGTGTTACCGAATTACGCTCCTCAGTTGTGAGATACTTTTTGGTTGCAAATTTTATTAGTTAGTTATAATTTCGTTATTTGCATTGATTGTTTAGTCAGAAACATGCAACTCAGACTTGCGAAAATAACTCTTATAATAATTCCAAGTTTTATCTTACCGATTTTATAGACCGATACTATTTCTTGTTTACTAAAACATTTTTGGGAACATGTTTTTTAAGTGCAAAAATACTGAACAATTTTTTTTTTTAAATTTATAGTTTTTCTTCTAGTATTTATTTTATAACGAAGCGTATTTCTGCTTCGGTGCTATGCGCAATTCCTGGTTTTCTTCAGGTTTTTTGTTTTGTTTTGAGCTTTGAATTATTCAAAATAACACTTTTGGTCTATTTGTCCGTATTGTTGTTGCTGTACGCCTCAGCGCTTTTGAAGTGGGTGCAACACAAAGCAAAAAAAAAGAATAATAGGGGCTATGGCTACATCGGACGATCTCCAAACCGCAAAAACAAAAACTAACAAGACGTTTGTAGTTTTATTGGACAATTCAATTTTGCATTACAACAAACACGGCTCTCGAGTTTCAAGCTTGCGGTGTAGCGAATGATGTGCAATTACTGCGATAACCGATTGTTAAAAATAAACACAGTGCAACTTTCATATCATAACTACTAAATTAAATAATTTAGATATATATCATATTAAAAAGATTGTATTAGGAACTTTTTAGAGTACAAATAAAATATGATATTATAAAACGAATTTGTTAATATTATTGAAACTTGGATGTTAAAAATGCATTTCACATATAATCCGTCGTGGAAAAAACTCTTTCAATTTAAAGAGGCTTTGAGAAAGGAAATTTCGAATTATGGATGTTGTACTGTAAAAACTAAGCAATTACATTTGGGAGGTAAGAGGTACCTCTCTTAAACCCCCGCCCACCCACTGTCTGTCAAACCTCGGCTTAGCCGCTCCAGTGGCTGTCAAAATGTGACAAGTGTCGTGGTCGAAGGAGGGGATAAAACGGAGATGGAGATGGAGCAAAAGAAAAAGGGGATATAGAGATTTAACCTTGAAAAGTGTGGACAAGACAAGCGGCGATGACGCAGAGATTCTGTTTTTCGGATTTGGTCGAGGTAGAACCAGAAACGAAAGATGGAAAAATACAGTACAATTAATAATAACCATTACACGCAGAAAAAGACAGGTGAGAGATCCTCGAACGAAAATTCTTATGGGAAGAGTCCAAAGTATTATTTGCTTGCAAATGTCAACTACTTAAGAACCAGTTTACATTTTTAATAAATACACTTAAATATGATTTGAATTTATGCACATAATTTTGTTATAAATATAATAAAAAGCCGGTATTAACCATTCCATTTCAAAGTCAAACAAATAGTTCCCAATGGAATTTTTTTTATTAACCAGAAGTGATCAAATAACCGAACAAAAAGTTTCTCATGGAAACTCCTAACAAAATTACCGAAAAAATATTTATTTAATAATTATTCACCCGTACAAATAAATAAATTTCAAAGTAATAACATGGTAATGGTAAAATTTACCACTTGTTTATTTATTTTTAAAAAAGTACATACATATGGGAAAAAATATTGCCGGTGGAAAAATAAATAATAACCGAGAAAGTATGGAACCTTTTAACAATGACTAATAAAACGCCGTAACGGTGGTCTATAAATGTTATGTACACCTTGTGATGAATTCAGTAAATATACAAGTTGCTTAATAAATATGGCGTTTTGGTAAAAGGGAAGGTGGGTAGCTCCTACAAATCTGAATGAAACATTTAGATGGGAATTTTAAAAAGCTTTGGTTGCTAATGGTACGCTAAATGGGTAATTAATTACAAAACTAAACACGAAAATTCATGCTTTTAATTATCCAGAAACACACAACTTCCGAATTCCAAAAGTAAAAATTATGATCCATGAACCGACTTTGCTTAACCCCTGAATGCCCGCGAATGCCAACTCCTTTGCGACTTTGTGACGTTTTTGGGGAAGCGAAAAAACTGAAAACTCAGAACGAAATTATGCAAATTACTTACAACTGAGGGCGTGACAAATGAAAAGCAAAAGCGCATAAATCATAAAAAACGCGAATAAAAACGGGGAAAAGTAAGGCGAGTGGAACAGTAGCTGACGCAGGAAACTAAAAATACCGGCGATCAGGTTGGCAAAGAGAAATACCGAAAAAGAACAGGGTGTTCCTGTGTGAAAAGGAGGAGCGGATGATGAAAACAGGTGCGGGAGGGGGATGGGGGGATGGCCGAAGGAGCGGAAGAGAGATGCGAGTTGCACTTGGGCAGGCCGAAAATAAACCAGAAAATGTGAGGATTGCTCACGATTTTCCCATGAGCGAATGGATGACCCTATTTATTCTTTCCCTTCTATATCCCCTATCTCCCTATCCCTACATCCCTCTATAGACCATCCCATTCCATTCAATTTCCATTTCCATTCCCTATTCCAGGCCTATATATGTAGGTTTATGTTTGTTTTGTGTGTGTGAGAATAGGCGGCACAGGCAGAAACGGCGAAAAGCAAAAGCAAAAGCCATAGGCCGGCACACAAAACATAAAGAACGATAATAAACACACACATACCCTACGCAACAATGCAAACACAGTGAACTTTACTTAAAAACAACCCTGCCTAACTCAAACTATATATATTTTAAAATTATTTTATATTTCCGTTTATCCAACTTGTTCTGGTATCAACAATTTGGGATAAACTGAGTCTAAAAATAACAGACTCGCAAGTATTTACTGGGGAATAAAATAAGAAGTAATACGATTTTTTAAAACCAATTTGTTCAATTATGTTTTCAAATTAAGTATTTAAGCTAGCTCAAGAATATGTACTTCAAAGGACAAAAACAAAGGATGTTGTTTTTAGATAACATTATTAGTTTTGGAAGTGGTTTGTTTTCCACCTTTTCTTCCCCTTGTTCCTTCAAATCTTGTTACCACTGTACTCCCTGGAAGAGTGCGAAAGAGCGCGCACTAGTGGCCCAGCATAGGCCTTTTGCCCATTGTTGTTGCTTTTTATGCTGCGCCGTTTTTGCTTTTGCCTTTGCTCTTACCCCCCAATCAATACATGCTCCATCCCGCTCTCGCACATTGGGCGATAACCGGGTGACGAACTTCTTACTACAATGTAGCAACTACATAGTATAGTATGATTATGGGGACTTACATGCTTGAAGAAGTCCATGAACTGGCTGTAGAAGACAAAGTCCCGCGGATATTTCTGCTGGAACACCTGCGACAGCAGAGTGGAGAGCGGGACCTCGCCAATGGGCGTACCGCTCGAACCAGGATAACCGTTAGCCAAGCCGGTACCCCCCACCCCGCCCCCAGCAGCGCCGCTGCTACTGTTGCTGCGCTGCAATTTCGAAGTCGAGGCAACGAAATTCGAGCATTTGCACGAGATCAACATGATTTTGTTATTGCCGGTCGGTGATAACGGTTATTGATGCTGCTGCCTTCTCGTTCTCTCCTTCTGTATTCCTTCTTTCTTGCTCCTTCTCACTGCACAAGGAAAACACTTTGCTTCTTCGTCTCTTCCTCTTCCTTATTTATATTTCCACAAGCGCTAAACCACAACAACAATAGCGAGTCCTCTGATTAACGCGTCGTTTCCCGCTTTATTTCAGATTTAATTTCGAGATGCTTTAAAGAAACCCTTCGAGTCACAAGTCGAAGAGCATTTGCGGGTCTTTTTTAGATTTCACGAGTTTTATTCTTGCGACCGAAAACAATCGAACATACACCATACACCCACAACCGTTCAATTTTTTTTTCGACTGCGCTGTTAGAAGTTGAGGAACATCGAAACATCGATGAAAGGCATCGGTAATCGATGTTTGGCACGCGAGTATCGATGTTTTTCATCTCTTTACCGGTGGCTCACGCTCTCTGTTTTCGGAGAGCAACGGCTGCTTACGATTGCTGACGTTCAAACAAAAAATACTGCAAAAATATGCCCGCCAAATTAGGCCATTTAGTAACGAAAGTGGATTTTAAATTTGCTCGCTATTTGGGGACCAAATCGAAGAATCTAAAATGCAAAATTGTTTAGAAAAAAAGATCCAACGATCTAGGTAGGCTTGGAGCACATCCGAGGCCTATTAAGGTTTCAAAAATGCATTTAAAAAACCGTGTCTCCCCAGTTTTGTTATCTGCTACCTTCACAGAGAATGTGCCAATATGCATGCTAAGCCGGGCTATTAAGCGTTAATTCAAGCTTCTTGTCAGAAAGTTTCAATAAAATCAAACCCACAGGTTTTGAGAAAATTGCAATTCAATTTTAATTTCAATTTTTTTTTTGGACTGTAATGGCGGTTACGTTTGGTGGTATTTTTAACGTTTCCGGTATTTTTAACCGAAACGTAAAGGGTGAGAGAAATTTGAAGAGAGTTCTGAAAGAGAGGCCGGTTCTCAGCCTCTCTTGTTTGCGTCCGCCTCTCCTTTCAACAGAAATGTTGTATTCTAACATTGGAATCTAACATTTAATTGCGCCAATGTGGTGGAAAGCGGAAGCTAATGGTAATAAAAGCGCCAATGCGGCCGAAATGGAAAGCGCCTGTGTAGACACAATGTAGATATTATGTAATGTAGTATTTTACTAGCATACTTATGTGAGTTCATTTTATTATTTAATTTTTTTTAGATTTTTTTCATTATTTTTAAACACACCAACAACTTTGGTTAATAAAAAAGACCACTGCAGATAGTTAAAGCACTTTTAAACATGTTACTTTTCTATTAAAAATTATCGTGTATGTATTTGTTTTTGCTTTGTTTACTATTTAATAGTTAAGCCACTATTAACATAGTTATTTTACGTGATGTGTGTATTTTGTTATAGCAATAGTAAATAGTTGATTTACAATTAAATAGTTATCCTGACGTAAAATCGTTCACATGCAACAACAACTTAACAAATATTCTTCAAAGTGGTTTATAACTCCCAACTGGGCATCAAGTCTTCAACATAGTACTTCCACAGTAGCTGGAAATCACCTTTAAAAAGTAAATTTTGAAAATTACTTTTTTTATTACCTTGCTACAGTGACTTATCTATGAAATTAATTAATAACTTTGTCAATTTAAATTATTAAATTAATATATCAACAATAAAAACAGTATGAAAATAGGTATTTAACGTCAACCCGTGGGTTAGGTCCATTCTAGCCTTTTTATAGTTGCACAGCTATTTTTCAAATGTAGTAACCCTTACGTTTACATATTTTGTAAAAGTAATTATTTCATGGGTTCAATTGACACTTTTTACGTTTTACTATTAAGTTGGTTAATTTTACCAATCGATTTTTTGTGTGTATATATGTATGTTGTGTGTGGTCGAAAAGAAAATGGTGTCTAGATCCGGGACACTGGTATCTGAAATAAATAAGGATATTGCAATTTTTAATATAACTTACTTTTGTAATTGCCAGTATAAGTAAAACAAGGAAGAACGCTATAGTCGAGTACCTCGACTATCAGATACCCGTTACTCAGCTAAATAGAGATATGCAAGTAGCAAAGCGAGATTAAAATGCGCCACCTACCGGCGGTATACAGATTTAAGCGTTTTGGGCGTTAGAGTGGGCGTGGCAAATTTTTTTTGGACCAATCGATAGGTATTGACGAGACCAATACATTTCAGTTAAAATTTTTTATTCAGCATAAAAATTGTGGGCATCACAGGTTTTCGCGGTTTGTGGGCGTTAGAGTGGGCGTGGCATATTCGCGTGACAAACTTGCGCTGCGTATAAGGCTACGGAATCTAAATCTGAAATCCCAATTCTCTATCTTTGATAGTTGCCGAGATATCCACGTTCATAATTACGATTTTTTGAAGTTTGTGGGCGGTTTATGGGCGTTAGGGTGGGCGTGGCAAACTTTTTTTGGGTCAATCGATAGGTATTGATAAGAACATTACATTTCAGTTAACATTTTTAGTCTAGCATCAAAACTGTAGGAGCCACAGTTTTGGGCGGATTGTGGGCGTTAGAGTGGGCGTGGCACTGTACTGAAACAAACTTGCGCTGCGTAAGAAGCTCAGGAATCTGCACGCCAAATCTCAATAGCCTAGCTCCCATAGTTTCCGAGATCTCAGCGTTCATCCGGACAGACAGACGGACAGACGGACAGACGGACAGACGGACAGACGGACAGACGGACATGGCTAGATCGACTCGGCTAGTGATCCTGATCAAGAATATATATACTTTATGGGGTCGGAAACGCTTCCTTCTGCCTGTTACATACTTTCCGACGAATCTAGTATACCCTTTTACTCTACGAGTAACGGGTATAATAATAAACTTTACATAAAATGTTAAATTAGAGGCTGTTCCTAACGCTGGTAACTTTAAAATCTCCTCGGCTGTTGTGAATGTCTCCCGAGATGCAGCGAGTACGAAACTTTCATCCCGACAATTTGCACCTGCATCGCTTGATTAAATTCCGTCTCTTTGCCGCCTCCAAAAGGGTCATCAAAAATGCATGTAACAGGCAGAAAGAACCCTATCCCCTTGTCCGACTCTAAGGCGAGAAATCATAAAGTTGGCCACGTGCCACGTGCTGCGTCTTCTTCTAATGCAAAGGTCGGGTCAACTTCTATAACCCCCACTCCACGGTAGTTTTCGGCTTTCTTGGGCATAAATTATGCGCGACTCGGGCGTTCGCCTGTCAAATTTGGCACCTGGCTGCGGTCGAAGGTCTTACAACATCTCGAAATGAAAATGTTGGGGAGCTAGTTGCTCTATATAACTGCTTGTCTTGGCCCCTTGTAAGCATGTAAACCGTTTTGCGGCCTGTTGGGTTCGCCGTGTAATTGAAATTGCGCGGCGTACGCGGCATTAAGTCATAAAAGCAACAACTACAGGCCACTACTCTGCTACCCAACAAAAAAAAAATGGAAAAAGAAACAAGTTTGTCACACTCTGAGGCCAGGCACGTACTCGCCAAGAGGTCAAAACGCACTCTGGACATGATAAACCCGCGAGCGAATTGTGAAACTTGTCCGTTTCTGGCCACCGCCACCATCACCATAACCACCATCACCATCATCATCATTATTATCTTGGAGCCCTGGCAATGTGTGGGTCATAAAAGCAGCGTACTTAGAACAAGTTAACACAGAAACCGAAAAGAGGAAAATTCCTGTTCGGGCAACAAAAATTTAATTAAGGTCTCTGTATCTCTCGGGTTTTCTGGGTAAACGTTTTTATTCAGGCGCTACCAAGGGTCAGAAAACAGCATCTGATTGTGTAATACAATCTATATAGAGAACGTTGACTTGTTCCGTTTGTGGCAATTTTGTAAGAGGTGAAAGACTCGGGGCTTACGAAAATTTATTATGTCACCTTTATGGATTTTACTGAATGTTTGAGGGAATTTGTAGTAAGGAAAGAATACAAGTACTAAATGTTTGCTTGATATGTAAGGGTTTATTTATGATCTACCTTAAGAATGTTATAGTTATAATTAAAATTGTTAAACAATATAATACGAATTTTGGTATGTATTTTTATATTATTTAAGTGGAACAAATTTTTAAAAACTATTTGATTGGAAAATGAATGTACTTAGATTTTCGTGGAATTTAAACAAAGTCTGTAGTAGTAAGCATACAAATATTATAAAATAGAAGTAGGTATTTTGGTACACTATTATATATTTTAATAAACATTAAAGAAAAAATTTGTATTGATGATTGCATTTTTTTTAGATTTTTTGGATGTGGTTAAGTAATCGAAACGGAGTCTGCCTGGTAATCTGCTGATGACTTCTGCCCGCCTACTAAAGCTTTTGAAAAGAGTCTGGCAAACTAAGGTTCATCCTTTGGCACATCCTTTCCCAGCGGCTTCTTTTCTCTCCCTCTTGTTGTCCTCGAATTGCTCCCTCTCGAAATTTGATCTTTTTGCCGTGATAAGAAATAATCGAGGGATAAGAAGGCGCAAAGCATAAACACGCTTGAGGAAATGCCTGGGCAATTGCTCTGCCCGAAGGTCCTTTGTCTTGAAGGACCTTTTATGTCTTATCAAGGCGAGCAAAACTTGGGACGCTCAGCGGATCCTGCCGTTGCCATTGGTCCCGATTCAGATCCCAATTCCGATCCTGGATCTGGTAACACAATACTTTTCGAATTCGTTGCAGCAGCGGGACCGCAAGGCCAGCTCCTTTTTAAATTAATTCGCGAGAATTTAAGGCGGAGGTGCCATGCGGCGAGGTGATCCTGGCGTGTCCTGGCTCCCATTATTGTGTCAGCAACTTTATAAATTGCGCATAGAAAACAAACCGCCCGCAAATGCGAGGCACAGGCATCCTTTGTCCTTTAAAATCGCTGTTTATATTTGGTGCTGCCTGCCCTGAATGGCAATCAATCAATCAATCAATCATAGCGAAGATCGCGTATCGATATCCATTTACATAACGCCGTACTCGGCACGTTCAGGCTCTAATAAGGGGAATCACTTATGGTATTTAATATGGTACCGTACTTTGGGTGTAGGAAGGAAATGTAATATCGAGGGGACTTAAGGTCCTTGAAAAGGAGACAAGAGGTTTTTTATGTAGATCATTTTTCGATTTTTGTATGCATATTTTATAAAGTTTACCAATGATCTTCATTTAATAAGTAGACAAAGTATTAAGCTATATACTTTTCTGAAAACTCGTTTAATATTTGTTTATTATTTCATATTTATTTATTTCTTATTTTATTCAAACTTAACCCAGAAAGCGTATGAAAATTAAAAGCTTAAATGCAATGAAATTAATAGTAGAGTTTAATAAGCGGTGGAGAAAACGG